GTGAAATATGCATGTTCTTTCCACAAGCGGTGCAGATTTGTAGCAATACAAACAATTGTTTGATGTTGCCATATACTTTGGTTTAACTAAACTCGGAAAGACACAAAGTAACGATATTTTTCGCAATACAGTTTTAAATGATGTACGAGCTCGAGGTATCCAAGGGAATACTTTTTCGTATGAATGTATTAACGACTAAACTGCTAACGAACTGCTAGATGTGTGAATGATCAGGAACAGTTGCAATCACACGAAATCCCGCACTTTGAGGATGACGTGCAAGACATGAAATCAGGCCTCGCAATAAAATCCTGCACACGCAGTTTTCGAAATCTAAAATAAACGCTACTGTAATATTAGGAAATGAGGTAACTTGCGTCAGTAAACCGACAATGTGGCTCTTTGCACCATATGCGGTATGCGGCTTCATTTATACCTTCGTTTGCTAAAACTGCGCTTGTTTCAGCTTATTAACTAAAGCGTGTTTCTCTTCCATGCTTGTTTTTTTTTTTTTTTAAGTTACGACTCGCGTTTTCATCGTCTTTCTGTAGCGATCAAGTTTTCAGTTCTGTTTACTGTCCAAGTTTTGCGGCCTATGCAAATCAGTTTTTGTTGTTTTTTTTTTGCAATTTTCTGGGCGTCACCGTTACCATTTGCAGACATCTTGTGATTCACAGCAATATTTCAGACATTTACAATTTTCTGTTTAACAATGCCCTGCAAAAAAAATAAACAGAATAAAAGCTCTTCACAGATAGAGTACACTATAGTTTAGGAAATTGCATTCGCTATTGTCCGAACGTCCTCTGATAAGAGCACGCGGCCGGGAAGCAGAAAGTACCGTGCACTATTGTGTAATAGCCACAGTTTCTTTTTTACTCTATGCGGAGTGAAACTCGTGGATGCAGTCCTTTGACGGAGAAAAGTACACAGTGTTTTTGTTTCGTACATACTTTCAGTGCTACCTGCATTATTTTATTCGCTCGGTTGCAAGAGTATGATTTCTTGCCCTCCCGCATTTCGTTCTCTTTCCTCGTCGCACTTTCTTCGAGACGAGGTTTGTTCTATAGAACTTCGAAATTCTCGTAACCCTGGAGCTTAATCTCTCCTATTAGCTATTAACGGACTTTTAATCAATAAGAAAAGAAAACACAATATATACTTGTCACAACACCTCATTATCACTGCAGGTTAGCGGAACAGCTTAGCATACTCATTTACATCAAAAATGATAAAACCGTAAACAGAAACGCTGCACTGTCCCATCTTGTTTAGCAAGTAGATTTTGTTGTCATTCAGCGACACAGTTCGGTGACTAGCACACATGCCTTGAAGACTAGCCATATACCATGCTTCCACGATCTCTCTTGTTTTCTGATCAGGGCGAACGTATAGAACATCAGTCTGATAGAATGAAGGACTGATCAAGGAATACTGGAATGAAGGAATACTGGAAGACCAACGCGCACATAGTATTGCTACAAGTTTTTCGAATGTGGCCACTGCTATGTCGATCGAACTAGCTGATTCTTGAATATAAGGTCAAAAAAACACTCGACCAATTTGAACGTAAGGCCGGGAACACATGTAGTAATACATTATGTGCGTTATTCTTCAAGTTAGTGCAGTCCTTCGTTCAATCACACTGTCGTTCTGTATCATCACCCTAGTCAGACAACAAGAGAGGTTGTAGAAGCGTGGCATATCTATAGACTTCAATACATGTGTGTCAGTCGCCCATTCGTATCACCGAATGATAACGAAATCGACCTGCTAAACCAGATGCGACAGTGCAACGCTAATGGTGAAAGTTTTATATTCATGTAAATGAATATACTATGCCGTTCTGCTCGTGCGCAGTGATCATGAGGGGCTGTAACGAGTATACATATATTGTGTTTTCTTATTGTATAAAGGTCAGTTGATAGTCTGCGCTGGTTCTTGTGAACCTTTCGTTTGTGCCTTCGTGTTTTGTTTCATGATCCTGCTTTCATTATCCTGCTTTCAAAAGTTTCATTAACGTGCTTTCGCTTTGGCTTTGCTGTGAGTGCCACGCAGGCTTGGAATTTTCTTTCAGCCTTAAGTTTTTCTCGTTCTATATTTTTTTTTTCGTTCGAGCTTCTTTCTGTTCTTTAAAATCATTTCAGCTAAACCACAGGTCAGCTCTTTGCGCGTCGTTTTCTCGCCAGGTGCGGGAAAACATAATTCCACAACTCCACAAAATAATATGAACGTGCCTGGTTTGTGGAAAGCCTGCGCCATCTGTTTGGCGGAATCGAAAGAGAGCACTCGAAGCATGCAGAAGCGGCAAATAGGGAGCGCTTCAGATTACAAGGAAAAACGTATGGATGGAAGTTGAAATTATCTTTACAAGACGCAATACCGTACCGCAAAGAATGTTAACGTTCCCTTTTAGTATTTTTTCTGCGTTTCATTCACAATATTCGATAGTAGTGACCTCACTCTTTTGTTTTGTGCTGCTTTGCACTTTGTGGATCGCTCGAGAAAGCGGCGCCACAGGCAGGAACACGTTTTTCATTCCATTTCGTTTTATTTTTTAATTGCAAAAATGACATAGTACGTTGCTCGGCATGGTTTATATATTTGCTATGCCATTTGCATCTTTGTATCTCTTAAAATATCCATGGGCCAGAGGCCCTATACACAAGGAGGTGGATAGCAACACTGTTTCGTGCCACACACGTACGCGTGTTAAATCAACGAAAACCAGCACCTCATCAAACCGAGAATTCTATAGAGAACGTTGATTTACTACTTCTAGTGCGTTGTACCAACGGTTGCACTAATTGGGGACATAGATGTGAAAAAAGCAAAAAGGACGAAAAGACAAGTTGCCGCTGGCAAGAATCGAACCCGCCACTGCAGACTGCCCGTTCTTTCCTAACAGCTTGATACCATACATGTCGGCGTTATGCCACATGTGTTTAGATTTTCATTTTATAGCCATCTTTGATTGTACTGCCACGCGGTAGAGTCATATTCCAGTTATCTCTTTTTACACAATTAGTGAAACGACGGAACTTCAAAATTTTCAAAGAATGGTACCGTATTATTCAGAAAAAAAAAAAAGAGTGCGAACTGATCGAAAAGAAATATTGGTAAGTGTGGTACATTTGTTCTTTCGCTATTGTTTTTTCTTACGGTTGCGAAATTTTGAATCCAGACGTTACCGGCTGCAATGCATGAATTGTAACGTATATGTGTCGTGATGTAACTGAATGACGTGATTCCTCTTGCAGAAGATACCGTTAAGATTTAATTATTGAGATATCACTCACTCAGCAAGGGCTTATTCCAATTTTTCATGTGAATGGTGTGCGCTTCTGCGAGTAAATAGATTGCTAGAGAAGAAATATTCTACTGAATGCCACTGGTGATATTTCACAAAGCCTGCTAAGCACAAAAAAATCACTGCATATCCACGGAGTGAATGATGATGAGTGGGGCGAAGCGTCCATCCATCCGCCCGTCCGTACGTCCATCCGTCCGTCCGTCTGTCCGTCTGTCTGTCTGTCTGTCTGTCTGTCTGTCTGTCTGTCTGTCTGTCTGTCTGTCTGTCTGTCTGTCCGTCTGTCCGTCCGTCCTTCCATCTGTTATACAAAATCGTCAGCTATACGAAAACCACTAACGCCGTTTAGAGATAATATTTCCATGGGCATATACACGCATCGCCATCTAGTGAGCGATTATTGAAAATAACTAGAAGTGGCTATTACAACAACATACTACTACGAAGGACATTACCCACATCCTAATGAGCATTGCCCCAAAAACAAAACATGTAATAAAGCACGCACGGCAAGCCAAAGCAACTAAATTTGGGTCACCCAGCGTGCTGCTCACTACATTCTGCGCATGCCGTATGCTCGTCACACCACTCGTATTCAAGTTTTCTATTATTAAACCTATTATAATCACGTCCCCTCTAGATTATCAAATAATTTTGTTGTAACGTGTTCTTCTTCACGCAGTCAGGCGTGTAAAGTGTAGGTTTTCGTACACATTGATATTGCGACGAGAAAAGAACCTTGCGTTACTGCGAATAGTCAACCGAAATCAACAGAAGGACGAAAGAAAAACAAGTATTTTCTAACCTTTGTTGTTGCTGTTGTTATTGTGGCATTTGCTTTCTGAACCATGACTTTAAAGAGGCACTAAAGAGGAAACATGGAGGACCCTTATAGCTTGGCTTTAGGAGTTTGACGCGATAGAGATAGCAACACGCACACTAATTCACTCGCACACAACTTCATCGGATCAGCTCGAATTTTCGCTCACGGCCAAATCCTGCCTTCTCGCTCACCACCAACTCCGGCTCCGGAAATCCAGCGAAACGAACTCTTACACGCTGTCACGTTAAAAAACAATCATATAAGTGAATCGCTCTCGCACAATTACAATATCACCACACTTCCTGTGAGAAGACGATGGCTAAGCGAGAAAACAGGCAAAACTAAAATGTCAGTGGCGTAATGACCTTGAAATTCCCCCACCACACGTCACGACGTAATAGGTTTCGACGGTGTCTACTAGGTACCACGTAATACCTAAGCAGTAAAAGTTCAATGCATTGTCCTCTGAGAAGGCAATATACTTACCATACCTAGTTTCAGCAAATTTCGTTGCACCGACGTTTCCAATATATGAAAAGTACGCTCTCAAATTCGTGGAACTCCGTTCGACAATTTTGTAACGAAGTTTCTAAATCAAAATCGGGCTTTGATTTTTCCTTTGCTATCAAATGTATGGTGGTGAAATTATTGGCGTTGGAGTTCTCAGAGTAAGATTTGTCGATCTAAAGCAATTCGTTTCTTCACATTGGTGTCCCTTCAATACGAGCTCAGTTTTCGTCCCGCTTGGAAACGGCGAACAAGAGCGGAAGTGTTTTCTCCGGGAGCGCAATGCAAACGTGGCGCCATCTATCTCGCGCAGCAACAGCTCACGCGGAGTACGACAACCCCACCCGTCGTCATCGGCGGAGTCAGCAACGGCGCAGGCGGTCGCGGCGAGTGTAAGAGGAGGCCGCAGACAAGCACAGCTGCTGCAATCAGCAGCCGCTTAGAGCAGCATGGCAGCGCGCGGTCCCGGTCGGGGCGGCGGCGTCGGGCGAGGCGGAGGTCCCAGACGTGGAAGGGGCCGCGCTAGAGGTGAGACTTCTTTCCAACCAGATCACTACACAGGCATCCGATCACACGACGAGGCACATGTATCGTGCGATGACGTGGCGTGTACGGTCTATTCAGTGCAGCTCGTTCATCGTAGCCACAACTGCAGTGCAGCTGGAAAAGTTGGCAGATCCCACCTACTGTGTTAATCGATGATGTGCGAAGCACGAATGAGGAAGGCTCACACATGTCACCTAAAATGAGCACAACGTTACGAGGCGGACGTAAAGTATGCCTTACATGGTCATGTCATGATTTATGTTTGGGTGTATCATTTGCTTTCGTCGTCTATCCACGTCACGTGATACCAAATTTAGTAGCACGTGACATGATATGTGGAGCTAGCTAAACGGCCGCGAGCACGCTATGAGCGCAGCATGTAGTCATGTTTTACATCACACGCATGTCATGATTAACACGTTTGGACGTGTCATTTACTTTCGTCGTCTATTCACGACACCTGGCACCAAATTTGGTATATGTGGAGCTAGCGAAACGGCTGCGAGCGCGCTATGAGCGTGGCATGTGATGTTTTACATGACACGCATGTCATGATTATCATACTTGGACGTGTCATTTACCTTCGTTCACGTCACGTAATACCAAATTTAGTATATGCGGAGCTAGCGAAACGGCTGCGAGCGCACCATGAGCGTGGCGTGTAGTCATGACCAGTCATAACCTGAAAATCAAGACACGCATGTCATGATTTTCACGTTAGGGTCTGGTGTCATACCATACCATTTTTGCAAAATTTGGTGTGAACGAAACCATGTAAATTTGGTGTGAACGAAACCAGCTCGTGCCATGTACTGCGCAATGGAAGCCGATATTATTCAAGAAAACGTGTCGGAAATGCATTGAAAAGACACCTCGCCCCTTCCTGTCCCCTCTGTGTAACAGCCAGTTATTCTACCTACAAATTATGCGTGGAATGCCGAAAAAGTGAGCAAAAAATTTGACTCACGCAGTCTCTACAAGCACTTTAAATAAAGGTTAAACTATAAACAACATAACCAAAATTTTTATTATATGAGCAACAACGATCACAACATTGTAATATGATCGGAACCCTCATGTGTGACTATAGTGTAGAGCACTCAGCAGGTGTCGAACACCGGCTGAAATGTGTTGAACAATAGCATTTTACCTGGTTCGGCCTTTAGGAACTACAAAAGAAACGCTTGCTGCTTGAATCGTTCGAGTTAAATGTTGACGCTTTACTGTGTTAAGCAAAGCGCCTGTATTGCGTGTCCGCTTCTTGCGAGTTCATTCATCGCTATTTTTCTCGTCATCAGTGTGTACCAACAAGCCCGAACTTCAAAAATGCTTTCTCAATAATCCCCAATCTAAGATAACACTAGGTGTCATTACTCTACCGTATATAACCAATAACGCTATGAAACAATACGTTATTGAGATAGATAATACTATAAAATCTAAATCCAAATACGAGGCCGTAAAACGATCACTTAATCTTAGATCCGCTAGGCCGTAAGCATTTGAGGACTCCGAAATACCGCGCTATCAATGGCCTCATCGAGGCAACTTATTGGTTGCGGCTCGATGATAACGCGCTGATAAGGGAGATTACGCCAGCATTATTACGCCAACGCGATTACGCCAACGTGGTAAAACGACGAGGCTGGAACCCTCGAACTGCTCCACGACTGAGCTATTCATATTTTGCCTTACCAAGAGATGCACTGCCAAAAATTGCGTGCATTTACGGACAGAAAAGCGGACATAGTGTCCAGGAAATAAACACACTCCGCCCCTTCGCCAATATCAAGGATACAGCGCACGTGATGTTTCGCTGAATAGTCCAAAAAACAAGCGGCTCCTCCGTCAACAATAAACTAGACGAAAGTATTCATTTGCAATACGGATGACCTCCAGAAGTTTATACTAATATGGCCGTCGCATACCATCATTGCATCCATCGCGGCGACGTGTTCTGCAGCGCTTTCATTCTACGAAACTGTATTTGCTCCCCAACGGTGGTTTAGGCGGGCATCGCGGAAAGAGGAACCATTCGACCGTGGCGCCATCGTCACTCATCTGTCGGTAGTCACTACTCTAGTCACTATCTCGACTACCCTCCTCGAAGGCAGGACGTACACACGGAAGGGGACCCGGCTGGCGTTGCTTTTTTATCTGTTCTGCATCTTGGAGGTGAGTGCCTCACTTCTCATTTACTCACCGTTTGGGTTACAGCTCGTGCCAAAAGCACAACAACCGCACTCCACGGTTACCTAACACACACTGCCTTTATTTTACAGTCGCCTTGAAATCCTAGATGCCAGAGTGGCGCCCCCTGGCATCCTCACATCGCCAATATGCTCACAGCTCGTGCCAATAATGATCTGTGTCATGTAGTACCTACGCAATATCTCAGATTAGGCCGCTTTGAATAAAGTCGAGGCCATAAACGCAGCGCTCCTTTGTCGATGTCGTTTTCGCGCGGCTTGTATCATGCATGCTTTTTCTGAGATGAGATTGTGGTTATATCAGAAGAAAAGAAAAGAAAGGTGCCGACCCGTAACTGTCTCTCCTTACGAGGACACCTCAACAGGTCAGCAGAGGAATGGGATATGGGGAATAAAAGATATAGAGAGAAGGAATAAAAAGAATAGAAGGAGAATAGATGGATAAGAAGCCGCCAGCCAACGAGAGGAAAAAGAAGGAGATAGGAAAGTGGAGATCCGGTCGAAGCAGTCCAAGGGCGGGGTGCCACAATGCGAGAGCTGCACGGCATCAGGAGACCGCGGAGGGCGAACCAGTCGGCGGGAGCTACGCTGAAGTCGGAGATCGCGAGGGCACAACCGTCCAGCTTGAAATCCTCCGAGCGAATGTTTTTCTGAGATGGAGTGCGTACTGAGAGCAGAAAATACAGCATTTACGGAAATCGCGGATTGATTGCGTTGGTCGTGTTTACATTTCGAGCGTGACATTTTCACTTCGCTCTGATTACTTTCCACGGCAGTTGCAATGCTCTATGCCGACAGTGGTCGGGCTTGTCAGGACTGTAGTGCAGCCGTGTAATGTGTGCGCCTCCCTTTATGCTGGCGGCGTTAGGTGAGCCTCTGTTTACGGTGCCAGTACGCCGCTGCGCAGTAAGGCGAGAGGATATCTACCGTGAAATCTCGGCGCGCTGCAGCCTACCGGCGTGTTCTCCCCGTCGGGCCGAAGTTCATCTCCTCTGAGTCGTCTAATAAAAGGTGGCTGAAGGGAGGTAGCGCCGAGGTGCGAGCAGCCAGGGAGAACTTTTATCTAAAGAAATCTAAAACAGCATGCGAATTCGACCCGAAAGCTAGAAACCACGACTCATAAAACGCGTTCTAAAAAATAATAAAAAATGGCAGTGGCTTGGCTCAGCTATGCCAGGATATACGTAGTGTTAGAAAAGGTTCAGCTGATTATTCTTAGCTTTCCAGATATCACGCTTACAGCTGTTCCTATGACACACACACGGTAAACGCATTATGTGGCACATGTATATTTATTTTGCCGGGCAACTACTTAGGGATCCGATGAGTTAAGCTTCTTCGCTCAACTGCACCGTTGAGCGGCATTTGCACTCTCCTTCTCCATGGCAATACCACAGTGGCAAACGCCAGTCAGAGGCGCTATCAAGTGGCTCCAGCGCAGTGTCAGATGGCAACTGCACAGGGAAGGCGCGCGCGTCGGCGTCCGTATGTCCACCAAGGCTATGACGGCCCTCCTCGGGAAAGCACACACCGGCAGCGGCCGAGTGCGAGGGAGTTGCCGGCTCCGGTGCGTGACACCACTGATCGTCTGCGCAGCGCATCGAATTGCGCGCACACCGGCGGCGGCGGAGTATCATTGCGCATGCGCAGACCACTGCCACGCGAAATTGGCTCAGCGAGGCCAGTGTGGCTAACGCTACAAAAGAATCTGCGCTTCGCCTGCCGCGGTGGTATAGTGGTTACGGTGGTCGGCTGCTGACCCGAAGGCCACGTGTTCGATGCCGGCCGTGGTAGTCGCGTTGTGATGGACGGGTAGTGGTAGAGGCCCGTGTACTGTGCACAATGCCAGTGCACTTTAAAGATGACCACATGGTAAAAATTTCCGGGCCCCTCTAGCACGGCGTCCTTCATAATGACGATATCATTTTAGGACGTAAAACCCCAGGAATATTTTTTAAAAATGCTAATCTCCAATTTGGTTAATACAAAATTTTCTGTGTACAGCAATCGTAGAATCGTAGTGAATGAAGAATATGATCCATATGAATTTTTTTTCATACAGAATAAACTGCATGAGTAAACGAGACATCCAAACCTTACTAGGGTGCATTTAACCTCATGCAGCTATCTTCTGACAGTTCGAATAGTGTGCTTATGCAACACTGGTAAGTGACACCTATACACGCAAGAACTTATTACCTGTGCGATAAGGTTTGGAAGGGGAAAGAACACCACAATTAAGAACAGGATATATTGAATATATTGAAATCAGAACAAAAAGGATATGTTTTTGTAATGAACCAATAGAGCTGTATCAAAGTGACAATTCCTGCTATTAAAGTGACAATGCGATGCTACCTCCCATTGAGTATTTGCAGCAATGTTTAGATGCACAGATGAAAAAAAAGGAATACGAAGACACTGCTAACTACTGGCGTTTATTAAAGCCTTTGCAGATTATACGCCTGGTGTTATCTCCAGTTAAAGACTGCTGGTCAAAGATTGGAAAAGTGAAAAAAAAAACATTCAAACCATAGTGGGGCACTTACATGAAGGTAGTTGATTCTATCAAGGTGAAGCTTCATTGAAAAGTTGTGTTCTTTTTCTTCAGTTCTGTTCCAAGTTTGCAGAGTGGGTGCTACTTAATATCTTTTATGTCACTTCCACCTTGAGAGGACGGAGTTATTACCTTAATGTTCTTAATGAAATAGAATCAATTCATTTTTAACTTGGAAACAGAGTTGATACCTTAATATTATGACTGAAATAGAA